CCAGTCAGCCTGATGACGTGCCAAGATCCCCGGCTGCTGCTACCCCCTCCCAACCTGAAAAAGGTGCCTTAGGCTAGCCAATCCTCGAGCTGCTGTAAACCTATTCTCCCCCTCCCCCTAACTTCTTTAAAAAGCTCACTGCCTGTCCTGCCAAGTGCGACTTCCCTGGCCTGTGATTAACCAGACTGGTGAACATTGCCCGGGATTGCGCCCTATTAAACTCTTGGCTCCTTTGTTGCCTCCTAGCCTGGTCTCTTCAGGTCAATTTTACCTTACAGTAGGGACTCAATTCCTGACAACCATTGTTAATCCAAAGGGCAGAGTTGTTTTTAGGACCTACAGCAGGTTTTCCATCATGTATTCTTTTTCTAACACCAAGCTGCTTTCACATGTTTTTCAAGAAGAGGTTCAAAGGCTACTAAAAAGGCAGGGACATCTTGACATTGCTTGTAAGGTCACCTCAGCAAGGGTCTCTATGCCCCCTGGGAGGTACTCCCATTCACAGATGGCCCTCCCCCTCCTCCACAAGCCCTGGGCTTTACAGAGAAGCACAGATGACTGACGTTTCACATAAAACTGTTCTTGGATAGGCAGAGCCACTTTATTCCCCATAACTAGATAATTTAAGGTATGTTTTCTCATATTTGCTGACAGACCAAAGAAGTGTACTAAGACATGATCAGTATTCATACCAGCCTTCAAACTGATTGGGTTTCTGTCTTGTGCATATTGAAATAAATTTCCAGCAAAGTTCCACTGTTGAGGTAAAAGCTAACAGAAATAACATCTTTTCCCTGAGCAAATGTACAACTAATACATTAGTTGTGAGACGCTAAATCTCTCTGTGTTATGGAGGTCCTTTTCCCCATCGTATTTTAAGAGTATATAAACACTTTTTGATCTACCTGAAATATGACCGATTGATAAATAAACTTTCCCTGAGATGAGGTAATTATTGGCAAAGAGGATATTCTCTTCCGCTGTCCACGTTAACTGCAAGCTGTCTTGGGAGTCGGATGGACTTTTTAATCCACTCCAAGAAACTAGGAGTAAGCCTTATCCACTCCCAAAACATGAGACAGATCCTCAGTGCTCTGCTCCTTTACAGGAATAGAGAAGCCAGTTTGATCTCTGCTCTGCATCTCTGCTGAAATTGTTCCCATTGCAGAAAGTATCATCTCTGCATCTCTGCAGGCTAAAATCCTGTCTACACCTCCTGTGACCATACTTTCTGGAAGGAAAATGGGGAGCACAGGAGGTGAGAACAGATATCTGTTTTGCTGCCTGGTAGTCTGGGAGATGTGGCCTACATATCAAATTATTGTCATTTCATAATTTATAAGCACAACTATTAAAATGTAAAATGGCCCTAGAGAATGAATAATCACCATCCTTATTTTACAAGACTACAAGACCTAGCTCTCTTGACTCAAATATGCAATAAATGTAATCTCTCTACCTCTAAACCTCCCAATCACTCTTGAATAGAACTTATCACTTGATACTTTGTATTGTGGTTCTGAACAGTCATATCTATAACTACACCATGAACAGAATGGCTAAAATGAAGAAGACAGACAACACAAGGTGTTCGTAAGAACATGGAGCAACAGGAATTCTCATATTCCACTGGAGGCAATGTAAACTGGTACAACTTTGAAAACCAGTTGGCCATATCTACTACAGCTGAATATATGCATCCCCTATGATCCAGCAATTACACTTCTAGATACAGACCTCACAAAAAAATGTGACCTATTTTCATTCACAAAACATGTACAAGGGTAAGAACATTCATTGCATCAGTAATTGTAATACCCTAAAGCTGGATTAAGATAATGATGTGATAAGTAAAATACAGTGTTTCAAGAACCAAGTTATCAAGTAAGGTTACAATCCCTCATAAAGCTACAGGTGTTAAGACTGCTGTCATCCAAGAATGGTCCACGGACCCCTCGGAGACCCTTTCAGGAGGGGATGCTAAACTTGGTGAGTCTCCTCTCCAGTGTGTGCAGATTAGAACTCAGCCAAAATTCAAAGTTTCTGCCCTGCAGTTTTCTCTCTCTCCTCCTCTCTCTCACTCTGCAAATCCCTCCTCTCTGGTACACAGTCTACAAGTTTCAGATACTTCAAATGTCTATTCTGTCTTGTCAACACAGTGAGACAGCAGGGCTGTTTTTGACAAATCCTCCCTGCACTGTTCCTCGGAACTGCCTCTAGGAAGCCAGCTGGGGCCATGTTAGGGTACCTCGTTTGTTTCTCTTATGTCTGTGTTACCTGTAGTCCAATGTCCAAAAATCACTGTTTCATTTATTTTGCCCAGTTTTCTAGTTGGAAGGTCAATTTTTACAGCACTGTATCTTTTTCAGTGAAATGGAAATCAAAGTCTTTTATTTTAATTGTATTTTACAAATGTATCTATCAGTTCATGGTGGATTGGAGAAAAAACTGTTCATTGAACCACAGATTGTTTGAGAAGAACTGCATTAAATAATGTTCGATTAAGTCTTGGGGGATGAAGAACTCAGGTAGAGGACTGCAGGAGAGTAGGGGGGACTTTCTATCTAGAGGGATTCTTCTCTTACCCATGGGGACCTTGGGAACATATGCGAGGAAGAGAACCTCAGCCTATTTCACTTCAGATGCCATGCACCTCCACCGGAAGGATGAAAGGCACACCTCCCGACAGCGTCAAATATTGGCAAATATGTGGAGCAGCGGGACCTCTCATGAACTGCTGATGGGAATGTAAAATGGTTCAGTCACTTTGGGGAATTGCTCTGGCCCCCCAAGTCCACTCATAGGTATTTACTGAAGAGAAAGAAGCGCGTAGACCCACCAATGACCCATACAAAAATGTTTGCAGCAGCCTTATTCCCATTTGCCACACTGGAAACAACCGACATGTCCACCTACAGGAGAATGGTCAACAGTTGCCATGCATGGGACCATTTGTCCTAAAAAGGAAGCACCACTGACTTATAACACACAACAGGATGGAGCTTGAAAACCTATGTTAGGTGACAGAAGCCAGATGATCCTCCAAAATGCTGGATGATTCTGTTTATATGAAATCCAAGAAGAGAAAGAACTAAAAAAGATGGTTTCCTCTGGGAAGGAGGGTTTGACTGGAGAGGGGCACTGGGGACTTCCTGGGGTTAAGGAAGTGTTCTTTATTTTGCTTGGGTGCTAATAACACAGCATATAAGCTTCTCAAACTCATTGAAATGGACACATGGGAATTGTGCATTTTTTGCATTTTTTTGACAAGTAAATTATAGCTCAATAAAAGAGGAGCCAGAAGGAAATAAAATAACTTATACATGGAGAAATGTGCACTTGCATAATTACAGAGCTTGATGAACTGTCACAAGTTGGAAAAACCCAGGTACCCAGCACCCATACTACCAAGACATGACCCCCACACCAGGCCACTCTTGAGCCTGGTCCTTGTCTCGACCACCCCAAGTAACCAGTACCTTGACATCAGCTGCACAGATGAGCTTTTTCTGATTTTGTGCTGTATATTAACAATCACTTGGCATGTACTCTTATATCTGGCTCCTTTTCTTTTGTGAGATTTATTCCTATTACTATGTGCAGCTGTAGATCTTTATTGTCAGAGCTGTATGGTATTCCATCTTCTTCGGTTGTTTCATTTGCATATATCTAGCCTCTCAGATCATATTCATGTTCAGCTAGTCCTTGCTGATGCCAGATGCCACATCTCAGGCAGTTGTCCAGAAGAGGTGGGAGGAGGCTGTAACCCCAGCCACCTACAGCTATTCTGTATCAATTAGAAAAGTACAAATACATGTCTGCAACAACTACAGAAAGCAGTACAAATTAGTTTTCTCTGTGTAAATTTTATTTTGTTTCAGTTTTTTTTTTTGACTGAGTTATAACTTTTTCTACAATGACATGTACAGGTCTTACATGCTCAGTTCAGTGTGTCTTGAGAATGGTATATATCCATGTCACAAAGCAATACTGAGAACATTTCCTTCACCTCAGAATTCATCACTTCTTCTAGAGACAACCGCTTTCTGATATTTTATCACTAGTTGAACCATCCTGAAATTTTGAAAAATGCTGTGTTTTCATAATGTAGCATGTATTTTAGATGTCATTAAATTAATATATTCCCTTAGGGAAGAGAAAATAAATAGATGATCAAAAGCTGCAGTCAACTGAATCACAATCATAAATCAGCACATTGATTCCAAGCAAATCAGATGCTGATGTTCATGCTGCTGAAACAGAACGCTGCCCTACGGAGGTGCTGCTCCCCGGGAAAGCCTTTGAGCCACAGCTGCTGCAGCAATGGCATGAAGAGATATTTGCAACTTCTGTATGGCTATGTTTTTGATATAAGAAAATGAGAATGGGTGGTCTGGTCAGTTTGGCTTTACTCACTTTGACTGTAGGATGCAAAATTTGGAAGCAAGATTTTTCTAGCACAGCTTGCTGCTGATTGTTGTTAGACACATGCTGCTGGACACATTTTATCCATCAGGAAACTTGCTGTGATAGCACCGAACAGACAAGAAACTTTATCCAGTGTAAATTTCCCCAGAAACCAATGTTTGATAGTCTAGGAAGAAGAGTTATGATGATTGAGAGTGAAGAGTTTTATCTTCCTGTCTGGAAAAAAATCTGTAAGCATATTTCACTATAGATTTTGGCTGGAGATAAGAAAAGCATACATAATACAAAAAGATGAATGATGATTTGTTCTCAGAAGTTATCACAATCATAACAAACTGTATTTCTTGTGAAATTTACAAGTCCATTTAAATAAGGCAAATGGTTGCATTATTAATATTCTGCAATTCATTTTAACTCATACACATGTCCACATATAATTGTTGTTAATTAAATTACACAAATACTAAAGAGACGGGTTAGAATCTCCAACTATGTTAATAAGCCATGGCATGACACAGCCAAATAGGTAGCTGCAAAATTACACTTCCTGTTCTGGTGCAGAAGCATTTCACAGCTCACTGACTGTGCACATGCCCTGACGGCCACCTGAATCTGAGACAGAGTACAGCATACTTCCCTCAGAACAACTTCTATCATGCTGCTGCCAGGCCTGCTGAGAGTAGCCCTGGCTGCCATCTACCTCAGTAAGTAAGCTAGTAAGGATGGCCACAAGCACAGACTCAGGTTCCTCTCAGCTCCCAAGTTTGGGGGTAGAGGCAGGTTATTATTGGCTGGTGGGTTTTAGGAGAGGAGAGTAATGGGTCGGGGAATCAGAACTCTCAGTTCTACACTATTAGTTCCTTAAAACCCTATGGATACCTCCAACAGAACTGGTTTAATTCTCTCTCTCTCAATCTCTTGCTTTCTTTTTTTGCAGGATCCAGCATGACCCAGAAGGTAACTCAAGCCCTGTCCACCATTTCTATGGTGCAAAAGGCATCTGTAACTTTGGATTGTGCCTATGAAACTAGTAGTTATACTTACTATTTATTCTGGTACAAACAAACACCAAGTGGGGAAATGATTTTCCTTATTGGTCAGGAGTCTTACAATGAGCAAAATGCAGCAGAGGGCCGGTATTCTCTGGACTTTCAGAAACCAGCCAGTTCCGTCAGCCTCACCATCACAGCCTTACAACTCCAGGACTCAGCAATGTATTTCTGTGCTCTGAGAGAGGTCACAGTGAGGTGGGTGCCTGTGGGAGCCCTACAAAAACCTCAGATCTCAACATGAGGCTTCCCCCAGCTGGGAACATCTGGTGAGAGTCTCAGAATGGACAGGAAGAGGTGGGGCTGTGTCAGAAGTGGTGGTTTCACTCTAAGGAAAATGCTCTCTCACTGGCTCAGAGGACATATCTAAAAGTTCATGCATTGAAAGCTTCTTTATCTTGAAATAGATCATTGGGCAAAAGACTAAAAAACCCTTTTTGATTGTGATTACACTAGCCATCAAACCCAAACCTGGGTGACTTCTCCGTTCCAAACTGCACTGCCAAGTTGACGCTTGTCCTACTGCACCCAACATGTAGCCTGGTGTTGAAAAGGGGACTTGAGGAAGCTGCTTTCAAAGTACTGAGTATCCCTCTGGGACCACAGCTGGGTCTGCTGCTCTGTCATGCTCAGACTTGTGCTCCCCAGAAGCCCCCTCAGGTCCCCTTCGGGGCACTACCCGCCTTTCCAGTGAAACTACAATCCTATAGAGAGATTAGTATTGCCTGGTTTTGAACTTTGTGTAAATAGAATAGTTTAGTTTAGATTTTTTCTGTCTGGATTCTTCTCTTTGTTTCAATTGAAGTGTCATTAATATACAATCTTATATTGGTTTCAAAAGTACAACACAATGGTTCAACAGTTACCCATATTATTAAATCCTTGCCCCCTCTAGTGCAGTTGCTATCTGTCAACATAGATGTTGCAGTGGCTTCTTCTTTTAATATTGCATTTCTGAGATTCATCCATGTAGTGTACATTTAGTTTGTTTATTCTTATTGCTGTATGAACATATCACAGTTTATTTAGCCATCTACTTAAGTGGTTTCTTGGATTCTTCTAGTTTTTGGCTATTACCGACAGTGTTGTACAAATATTCTTATACATGTTCTTTGGTGAATATATTTACACATTGCTATTAGGCATATATGTTAGAATTTCTGGATCAAAGGCTATCTATCTATCTATCTATATCTATCTATCTATCTATCTATCTATCTATCTATCTATCTATCTATCTATCTGGCTTTAATTCCCACAGTAGGTATACCCTCAAAAAGAGTACTAATGACCTCTATGTTATGAATTAACAAAAATTTTCAGTTCTCATCATAGCTGACTTCTTAGAACCTGACCACTTGTTCTTAACTTGAAACGTTCTCTTCCTTAGGTCTTTGACAAGCAATTCTCTGGAGTTTTTACCTACTTCACTGTTTCCTTTCTGACTCTTCCACACATTCTCATCTCCTTTCCAATCATTAAGTGCTGGAAATCTTCAAGGTTTAGACTTAGGCGATCTCCTCTCCATGTATTGCTCTCTCTTTATGACATTTAGGTCTTGTTCACATGACTCAGATATTTATATCTCTGTACAGGCCTCATTATCTGCTTTCTCTATCCCTTCACTTAAGCAAAAAAGCAAGTCACCTCTCTGTCATGTATGTGCACAGATGAAAATAACAGAATAATCAAAATTTTGATCATAAACATAGTAAAGTGAGAGAAAATATCATTACAACCTAACGTGACCCTCTAAATCATCCATACTCCAGGCACTTTGTAGCTCCAGGAGTAAAGGGATTCCCCTCCTGGGACAAATTCCCTATGAATCTGGTGAAATTGAAGCAAGACAAGGGGAAGGACAGGTTGAGTCAAGGGATTTTATTTTCTCACAGTTTGCTTGGGCTTGCCAGCCAGGCTCCACAGTCCATCCCCTCCAGCCACAGTAGTGTGCTTCTACACCTACCCACCCCTTATGGCAGGAACTCCATGAGCGGGTCCTTGGTAACTAGACCAATTACCTACAGGGAACAGAGGGGAGCAAAGAATGGTCGGCTTCTCTCTACCCTTTGCCCTGGACAGACTGGAGGCTGTGAAACATCCACTGGTATGTAAATGGACTAAGACCAGGTGGGAGATTCTGGAAACTCTGGGTGAAAACTTCCATTTACCACACACTCTTTTTTCGAACTCTAAGCAATCTCTTGACTCTCCCCAGACTTGACCAGAGGAAGACTGAGAATGCTACAACACTGCAGCTTCACTCTTACTCTCTCCAACTCTTTAGTGAATTCTCAGTTTTCTCATATATCTTTGCCATGGAATAATAGGCTAAGGAAAGTTAAAAAATGGGTTTCATATATGTTTTGCAAGTGTCCCTAAGCATATATTATGGTCTCTTTCTATGTGTTCTCATGTATTGAGAGGTCTTTCCAAAGTCCAAGACAAGGAAATGTTGCAGGTGACATACTTTCACATATCCGCAGGTATATCTATACTTATGTATAGGTTTAAAAAATTCCTGTTATGCCCATAACTGTGTGCTCTATAGGGTCAGGAAACATGTATGTATTGTACACTATTTAGTACTTGCACATAGTGGGTGCCTGTTAAGTATTTTTTGGTTGAGGAGAATAAATTAAGTGATAACATCCAATAGGTTCAGAGTTTCCATTCTTTGTATGCTTTTAGCTAAGTATGGATAAATTATTTTTTGTATTTGTCCATTTCTCATTACCATGAGAACAATCCTTCTGCTTAAATGTGCCATAAATTCCTTTTCTGTTTCTACAGATTTTCCTCACTGTGGCAGTGTTTCCAGGTTTGCAGTTTGTATGTTCTCTATCTTGTTGGCATAGACAGAAGCGTCTCCCTTACCTGAGTGAGGCTCCAGGAAAGTGTATAACTGATTCAGTTTCTTGTGGACTTGGAAGTCCCTCTTATATATGTATGCTGATTCATCTTGATTTTAGCCTGTGATGATATCCCTGTCTTACCTCTTTTCTGGTCACAATTCTAGGGATTTTATCTTAGGATTTGGCCTCAAATATTTGGAGATAAAGTTAAGGGTGGTAGTGGGAGGCAGGGGTACAGGCTGAAAGAAAATCCCAGTTAACTCAGTTCTGTGTGTGTCCCCATACTTTCCATTCTAATTTCTGGGGCACAAAAGCACGAGTGAAATGACCTTTATAAATTAGGTGTTCTTTGCATACTAAATGCTGCCTGTGTGCAGTTGGATTGGGTCAAACTTATCTATTGCCATTTGTCTCTGCCAATGCCATGACTTACTGTGCTTCTTTGAATATTTTCTCTCTCAAGTCTAGTGAGCTAGTTAATTTTCTTAGCATTTGGGTGGATATTCCATTGCATGTTCTGGCCCGATGCTTAAGAAAAATGAGCCTGTTTTCCAATTGCACTAGTGAGCTAGTTAATTTTCTTAGCATTTGGGTGGATATTCCATTGCATGTTCTGGCCCGATGCTTAAGAAAAATGAGCCTGTTTTCCAATTGCCTGATTCTGGTTCAAAGAGCTGAATTATTTCAATCAAGACTCCTTTAGAGCTCTTGGATTCTTAACCATTAGGAAAATTTTCAGGAAGTATTATCCTCAGTTGTATAGTGGCCTTTTCAAAATGTCCTGTGATAGCAAAGTCAGGACTCTGTCCCTGGGACAATAGGAAGAAGCATCATTATATCTCCAGGGAAACTGAGCTTTTGGCCTTGTAACAGTGACTATGAAATGAGGTATATGTAAGCATGTAATTTTAGCAAAAAGTAATAACAAAAAAGGATTGTTTTCATTCTTGGGACAATTTGTAGAGAATATTATTATCTTCAAGAAACACATGTTCCATTATCAGGGAAGAAGTTTTAGAAAAGGATGGAGAATCTCACTTTCAGTTCAGTTTCATGACCTAAAGGTGGATGGGCATTTTTCTCAAAGAATTTAAAGTTTTAAAGAATGTGAATGTGAAGAAAGATTACGGTAATCCTTGAGCATAATGTAGATGTAACCATTTTCCTTTATACTAGAAAACATGGCCCTGTAATGTGTGATAGAGGATTTCAGAGGTTGATGAGTTGAGAAGGGTTTGGTTTGGGTACTCTATTTTTAAATTTACTTTTTTAGGTAGAGATATCACAGTAAGTACAAAAAAGGAAATTTGCAGGCTCAGAGTACAAAAGGTTTTCTCACTTCTCTATGAGAATTCCTCAGCCTATATTTTGGTTTTGCTGCTTTGAGCTGAGCTAGTTGATCATAGCAAACAGGTAAAGTTTAAGACAAGGATAATGACACATTCCTCTTTAAAAAAATTATAAAAAACTAACTCAAAATGGATCATGAATTTAAATATAAAATGTAAAGCCATGAAAACCTTTAGGAACAAACATAAGGAAATATTCGGGATTTGGGCCTAGGTGGAGAGTTCTTAAATCTGACACTGCACAATACACATACACAAACTGGACTTCATCAAAATTAGAAAGACCCTGTTAAGAAGATGAAAAGATAAGCTACAGAATGACTAAATATTTACAAACCATGTATCTGACACAGGACTTGTATCTAGAATATATAAAGAACTCTTAAAACTCAACAGTAAGAAAGCAAACAACCAATTAGAAAATGGGAAGAGATTTGAATAGATATTTCACTAAAAAGAATGCAGAGATTGCAAATAAGTACATGAAAATATGTTCAACATCATCAGCCATCTGAGAAATGTGAATTAAAACAATAGTGAAATATCGTGACATAACATTGGAGTGGCTTAAATAAAAAATAGTAATAAAACCAAATGCTGGCAAATATGTGGGGAAACTGGACCACTAAGAAGTTGCTGGTGGAGATATAAAATGGCACAGGCACTCTGGAAAATGGACTGGCAGTTTCTTATAAAACTAAACATACCTTAGGATATTATCCAGCACTTGCACACCTGGGCACTTATCCTAGAGAAAGCTTCTATTCACACAAAAACCTGTATATGAATACTCATAGAAGCTTTATGTATAACAGCCCAGATCTGGAAACAATCCAAATGTCCTTCAGTTGGTGACTGGTTGAGCAAACTGTGGTACATCCATTCCATAGAACAGTACTCAGAAATAAAAAAAATACAAGCAGGTTGGATACACACCATAATCTGGATTGATCTCATGCTTTTTTATTCCTCGTGCTGAGTGAAAAGAACAAAACAAAACAAAACAAAATATTACTACTGTATCATTCCATTTATATAACATTATTGAAATAACAGGATTGTAGGGATGAAGAACAGATTAGTGATTCTCAGGGGTTAATTGGGGAGGGGATGTGAATGGCTGCCAAGGATAGCATGAGGAAGCCTTGTGGTTATGAAACAGTTGTGCATCTTGATTGTGGCAGTGGATCTGTACCTGTCCAAATGGTAGACTTAAAATATTAAATTTTAAACATAATAGAAAATTTCAAGACTTAAAAAAATAATCATAGAGTAAGTCAAGACTTTCTAAGCAAGACTCAGATTAAAAATTTCAGGCAAGATAATGGTGAATAACTGTGGATACACAATACATCGGAGTGTACGAAAGCAAACAATTCTACATGGCAAAAACACCATAAAAAAGCCAAAATCAAATGCCAAGTGGAATAAAAATATTAAAAAATAGGGAAAATGTAACTTTAATAAACCAAAGAACTTTTATAAACCAAAAAGAAGATTTAATTCGTTGAAAGAAAAGTGCACCAATAATAGCTAATATTAATAGGATGTTTGCACTAGTCATTATTATTCATACCTATATATCTATATAAATATATATGTAACCTATCTAATCTATCCATGTCAATATGTATTTCAAATGATTCTCACAGCAATTCTATAAGACATGTACTATTCTTTCTCCATTATTCAATTGAAGAAACTAAGTCACAGAAAGGGTCACTGAGCAACTTGTTCAGAATCTCACAGTAAATAAACCATAGACCTGGAGTTTGATTCCTGTCATTCTGACTCCAAAATTAACACTTAAACAAAATTTTGAGTAGACTTTTCAAAGAATGTAAATAGATTAAAATGCAAATAGATTTTAAACTATTTTTAAGGTCCCAGCTTCACTAATATTAGAGAAATAAAAAATGATATTCTGACTTAGCATTTTTCACCTATTAAGAAACATAAAAAGTTTGATTATATAATGTGTTTCCTAGGAGTGGAGAAACAGGCTCTCATATATATTGTAAATGTGCATATAGCTACTGCTTGTTCAGAGGCATTTTGGCAATACTTATTAAATGAGCAATACTTTTGTCATAGTTTTTAAACTTTCTTTTTAAATCACTCTTCTATTTTATTGAAGAATTGTTGATATGCTTGCAATAGTGCTTATTGATATACTTGTCATGTTGGGAAACATCTTTGTATGAGGATATTCATTTCTGCATAATCTTTGATAGCAAAAGATTGGGAATAATCTAGACTTAGAAAAACACAAAGCTGCTTAAGTAAAATATGATACACCCATACAGTGGTATGCTATGCGTGGAAGAAAAGCAAAGCACAGAATAGAGAGTTTAGGTTTGTCTGAAAATAATGAGTTTAGCATTAAAGACCATTCAGGTAACAATCAAACATTTAAAAGAGCAAGTAAGAGAAGGCTTTCCTACTTCAAACCTCATATATACTATCAACACATCAAAAAAAAGTCTGTCCTTCGATTTTTTTCTTTGTAGGTGCAGTGAAGTGGCCACTGTGAGCCTCTGTTTTTGACCATGGGGTGGCAGTGGCTCTACTGCTCTCATTCCTTGAATACCTTACACATCAAAAGCATGAAAGTTACTAGACTTGGTATTTTTTTTTAAATTAAGGTATCATTGAAATACAATCTTAGGAAGGTTTCACATGAGCAACATTGTGGTTACTACATTCACTCATATTATCAAGTCCCCCCAATTTCCACTGACCATTGCAGTCACTGTCCATCAGCACAGGAAGATGCTATAGAGTCACTACTTGTCTTCTCTGCGCAGTACTGCCTTCCCGGTGAGACCCCTACATTATGTATGCTAATCATAATCCCCCTCGATCGCCTTCTCTCTCCCTCCCCACCCCTTTCCTTTGGTAACCACTAGTCCCTTCTTGGAGTCTGTGAGTCTGCTGCTGTTTTGTTCCTTCAGTTTTTTTTTGTTGTTGTTGTTATACTCTGCAAATGAGGAAAATCATTTGTTACTTGTCTTTTTCTGTCTGGCTTCTTTCACTGAACATAATACCCTCTAGCTCCATCCATGTTATTGCAAATGGGAAAATTTGTTTTCTTTTTGTGGCTGAATAATATTCCATTGTGTATATGTACCACCTCTTCTTCATCCATTCATCTAATGATGGACACTTAGGTTGCTACCGTGTCTTGGCTATTGTAAACAGTGCTACAGTAAACATAGGGGTGCATATGTTTTTTTGAATCAGGGATCTTGTTTTCTTTGGATAAATTCCTAGAAGTGGAATTCCTGGGTCAAATGGTATTTTTATTTTTAGTTTTTTCCAGAACCCCCATTATGTTTTCCACAATGGTTGAACTAATTTACATTCCCACCAGCAGTGTAGGAGGGTTCCCCTTTCTCCACATCCTCACCAGCATTTCTTGTTCCTTGTCTTTTGGATGTTAGCCATCCTAATTGGTATTAGGTGATATCTCATTGTGGTTTTAATTTGCATTTCCCTGATAATTAGTGATGTGGAGCATCTTTTCATGTGTCTGTTGACCATCTGAATTTCTTCTTTGATGAAGTGTCTGTTCAGATCCTCTTCCTATTTTTTAATCAGGTTATTTGCTTTTTGGGTGTTGAGGCATGTGAGTACTTTATATATTTTGGATGTTAACCCCTTATCAGATATGTCATTTATGAATATATTCTCCCATACTGTAGGATGCCTTTTTGTTATGCTTTTGGTGTCCTTTGCTGTACAGAAGGTTTTTAGTTTGATGTAGTCCCATTTGCTCATTTTTGCTTTTGTTTCCCTTCCCTGAGGAGATGCATTCAGGAAAAAATTGCTCGTGTTTATAATCAGGAGATTTTTGCCTACATTTTCTTCTAAGAGTTTTATGGTTTCATGAGTTACATTCAAGTCTTTGATCCATTTCAAGTTTACTTTGTGTATGGAGTTAAACAGTAATCCAGTTTCATTCTCTTACATGTAGCTGTCCAGTTTTGCCAACACCAGTTGTTGAAGAGGCTGTCATTTCCCCATTGTATATCTATGGCTCCTTTATCATATATTAATTGGCTATATTTGTGTGGGTTATATCTGGGCTCCCTATACGGTTCCATTGATCTATGTGTCTGTTTTTGTGCCGGTACCAAATTGTTTTTATTACTGTGGCTTTGCAGTAGAAATTGAGGTCAGGGAGCATAATCCCCCTAAACTTTAGTCTTCCTTCTGAGGATTGTCGTGGCTATTCAGAGCCTTTTGAGATTCCATATGAATTTTAGAACTATTTGTTCTAGTTTGTAGAAGAATGCTGTTGATATTTTCATAGGGATTGCATTGAATCTATAGACTGCTTTAGCCAAGGTTGCCATTTTGACAATGTTAATTCTCCCTATCCATGATCATGGGATGTATTTCCATTTTTTGATGGCTTCTTTAATTTCTCTCAAGAATGTCTTGTAGTTTTCAGGGTATAGGTCTTTCACCTCCTTGGTTAGGTTTCTTCCTAGGCATTTTATTCTTTTTGATGTAGTTGTGAATGGAATTATTTTCCTGATTTCTCTTTCTGCTAGTTCATCGTTAGTATATAGGAATGCAACAGATTTCTGTGTATTAATTTTGTATCCTGCAACTTTGCTGAATTCAGTTATTAGTTCTAGTAGTTTTGGGGTGGATTCTTCAGGTTTTTTTTTTTTTTATGTACAATATCATGTAATCCTAAAACAGTGACAGTTTAACTTCTTCCTTTCCAATCTGGATGCCTTTTATTTCTTTGTGTTGTCTGATTGCCATGGCTAGGACCTCTAGTAATATGTTAAATAGAAGTGGTGAGAGTGGGCATCCTTGCCTTGTTCCTGATCTTAGAGGAAAAGCTTCCAGCTTTTCACTGTTAGGTATGATGTTGGCTATGGGTTTGTCTTATATGGCCTTCATTATGTTGAGGTACTTGCCCTCTATACCCATTTTGTTGAGAATTTTTATCATGAATGGATGTTGAATTTTGTCAAATGCTTTTTCAGCATCTATTAAGATGATCATGTGATTTTTGTCCTTTTTGTTGATATGGGGTATGATGTTAATGGATTTTGAAATATTGTATCATCCGTGTATCCCTGGGATAAATCGTACTTGATCATGATGGATGATCCTTTTGATGCATTTTTAACTCAGTTTGCTAATATTTTGTTGAGTATGTTTGCCTCTATGTTCACCGGGGATATGTCTGTAATTTTCTTTTTTTGTAGTATCTTTGCTGGTTTTGGTATTAGAGTCATGCTGGCCTCATAGAATGAATTTGAAAGTATTCGCTCCTCGAGGCTTGGCTTTTGATTGGCTGAGCTGCCAACAGAAAGGCTCTGTCAAGTATCACAGAATAAGAGCTAAGTCACAGAAACAGCTCATAGAAGAGAAGGTTTGGAATTATTAAAAGTATCAAGATTGAGAGATCAGAATGGAGAACATGCTGCAATGTGCATTCATAGTTTCGTGGCTTCAGCTTGGCTGTAAGTTGGTGGTGAATACATGAACACCATGAGAGCACTTTTATCCAGAGCTGAGGAGAAGATATAAGGTTTTAATCTCAGCTCATCCCAGGTTGTTTGTTGGAACTTTTTGGAAGTGTTGCACTAAAGCTTTGCATCATTTCTGATTTTGTTTTCCTGAACAGGTTTGCGTGGCAAAGACCAGGCAGAGCAGAGTCCTTGGACCCTGAGACTCCAGGATGGAGACATCGTCAGCCTCAACTGCACTTACCCAGTCAGCTCCTTTAGAGCGCTCTGGTGGTTTAGGCAAGGCCCTAGCAGAGGCCCCAAGCTCCTCTTCCCCCTGTATTCCATGGGAGAGGAAAAGCAGCAAGAAAGACTAAGACTAAGAGAAGTTCTCTGCATACCACAACCTCCAAACCTGAAGACTCAGCTCCTTTCCCTGCACTGTGGAGACCCTGCACCAAAACCCTGGGCTCTGGAATAAGGCTATCTCTTGTTTTTCCTCCTCGAACAGGTATTCACTTAGCACCCAGAACCTCTTTCCAAGAGGTATTACGAAGAATGAAATCTTGTCATACAGCCAGATGGCACAGCTTGCTGTATTCTGCTCATGCATCCTAGACAATCCTCTCTTTGTAACAGCCCAGGATTTTCCTCATAGATTTGGAAGGGATACCTGTCCTTTGGAGAGCCTTGGTTTCTAGTCTGGCGCCACTTTAAAAGAGGCTGTTCAGGAATACATATGCTGAAAACATTTTTTTGCTTTCTTTTGTAATAATCTGGTCATATGTCTGTAAATGAATCTTCCCCATTGTAATATAATCTTCTTGAAGCCCACATCACCACCAGTCAAGTTTCTACATTTTTCTTTCCTTAATAATCAAATTAATTAAAAATTTGAAAGGCATCCTTATTTTCTTTTTCCAGCTGTACATTCTTTCCTTGAAGGGATGAGCAGAGGATTACTCAACTGCCCAAATGGAGGGAAGATATTGCAGTTTGAAAAAAATGAATAAAAAGCAGAAACTTTGTTAATATTACAAAAATTGCCCTGTCCCACATGGGGCAAGACATTCGGAGACCTCAAACAAAATTGGTTAAGTTCTTTCTAGAACATTATAAGCTTATTCTCCTCCATATCTGTAAAGCAACTTTACAAAAGCAGATTAGTGGGTTAGCTGGGATCTGAATGGAAGCAGGCACAGGTATTGTCACAAGAGGGACTGCTCTGTCTGTCAATAACATCCTTGCTCAGTTGGGGGAAAAGTGGCTGGCTCACATTCAGCATTGAAGTTGTGCAGAAACTGTGACAAATGATGTATTTTATTCTGTTATAAGCAGAGCAGTCTGTGCATAGCTTCAATGCTCAGTGATTTCTTGCCTTGTCCCAATCTAGTATGAAACAATTCCTTTCTACTCAAAATAGTATGACAGAGAGAGGAGGATGGGAAGCTGCTATGCAGCTTTCAGTCTTAATTGATCTATTTTTGTCAATTTTTGTAATGACAGAGAAAAGTAGAATTTTTGTGTGTGTGTGTGGGAAGGAAATTATTTTACTCAGTCTATTTCAGTTCTTTTAAATTTGAAAAGAAAACAAGAGCAAGTTTTCAAGGCTACTCCCCCTGCTTTCTTTCCTCCCTCCTTTCTCTTTCTCTGCCAATCAGCTCTGTGTGCTGCTACTAGGCACCTGCATGGAGAATGGGGAAAGGCCAGTAATGAACTGGGCTTGTGGAATATAAAGACGAGGACCATTCCAGGTCTTGTTTCCTTTTTATCAAGATGTGAAGTCTATAAATGCCTTCCTACAGACACATGATTCCTAAAGGCATTTTAGGAGACCAGATAATTGATAAACTTGGTAATCTTGACTGACTACCTAGATCAGACTCTGACTTTAACCCTCCCAGTCACTTTGAGCACATTGCTCCCTGCATCTGAAACTCATTTGCTTTTTCTTGTCATTTAGATGGACTTGCTCCATCTTTTCATGACTGTGTAAGACTTGGTGGTTTTCCTTAATGTAAAAGAAAAAATTTTTCTTTGAGGTCCTTGGAACATCAGATTACCAATAATATATTGCTGCTCTTGGATTGTGAGAAAGCAATAAGAAAATTGTTCTGGTTGGATACTGCCCCTAAGATTTGTATTTTTCTCTTTCAGCCTCATTCTCTTAGAGTTCAATACTTATAAATTATCCATACGGAACCCCTTGGTTGAGTGTGGATGCCTGTTTCATATTTTTACCCTGGTTCCAGGGACATAACTAAGCCTGGGCAGGTGTATCAACCAAGGAGCTTCTATCTCATTGGCTGACTGCAGGCCTGGGGTTGCTCAGAGTGACAGCCACCAAGTGAAGGGCTGTGCTGGCAATGACTCAGCTGGCATGTCTTCTCTGTTACCTCCTCAGCCTAGGTTAGGACAGAGGCTGAGCTATGGGCCCTGGACTCTAGAGTCTGCTTGAAGTATGAGGCTGGTGATGGAGGTGTCTGTGCTCCTGACCCTGGGTAAGTGTTCTGAGCCTAAGAAAGTATGATGTTTGAAACCAGGCAATCAGAGGAGGGATTACTACTGCTGCCACTCATCTCATTAAGTTTGCTAGAGTTGTCATAACAATACCACAGTCTAGGTCGCTTAAATAACAGAAACTTACTGCCTGTCAATTCTGGAGGCTGGAAGTCTGAGATCAAGGTGTCAGCAGGCCTGGGTCCTTCTGAGGGCTGTGAGAGGATGGCCTGTTACAGGCTCCTCTCCTTGGCTTGCAGAAGGCCATCTTCTCCCTGTGTTCCTTCACATCACCTTCCCTCTATGCATGTTTCTGTGTCCAAATCTCCCTTGTTACAGAAAACACCAGGCATATTAGATTAGGGCTCATCCTAATGACCATATTATAACCTGATCACCTCTGTAAAGACTTTATCTTCAAATAAAATCACATTCTGCAATACTGGGGGTTAGAACTTCAGTGTATGAAAGCAAAAGGGAAACAATTCACCCATAATCCTCGGTGATCACAGAAGTGCTTTCCCTGCTATAAAGAATTTCTTATATTCATTGTGCTCAAGGGAAAATGGGAGAAAACAATGGAGTCCTGACTCTTGACAAGTGAATCTAGATAATTCTAGCTGTATTTTGTTCTTTCTATAAGATAGAAAATCGAAGTAGCAGATGAGAGTCAGAGAGCAAAGTTCTAGAGGTGTCATGCAAGGCAATCCTTAAAAATATGCCTTGGAGATCTGCGAACAATTGTATGTATTTCCCCACTTATGGATTATTTCTAATGTTAAGATTATGGAGCTCAACTAACTCCTTGGACAGGGCTGAAGGACAAGCAGTGAACATACCCTATTCCCTCTCCACCATTAGAGAAAATGAGTGTGTTATCTGGGGTTGACAATTTTTTAACTAAGGCCTACGGTATCTGATTTGAGATTTAAAGAGCAATGTAACTAGTAAAATGGCTTCAAGGCCCAAACCTGTGGACAGCAGGTCCTGGACTCTGATACCGTACCAGGTTCCCCTGGAAGACCCCACTGTGTATTATTGCATCATGACAGAAGCACAGTGGGGCAGACTGAGCCACAGCTGTGTCTCTGGTGGTGAAGGGTGATAATATCTATTTAAACAGGATATTACACAGCAAATGTGAGCTTAATGGAAGAAGGTGGAAAAAAGTAAGAAGAAAGAAAGGGGGCAAAAAAATAAGGAAAAGCTACATGAGACCAAGAACTGGACCAGGAAAGAAAACCAGGGAGAAGGAGGAGCCCAGATACATGTCCTTTCTCCAATCTAACATTCTTATTCTTGCCAAGGTCCAGTGTGAAGTTCATAAACTGAATGTTATTCCTGTGAGAAATGTCTTGAGTTCTCTGAATTTTTTCAGCTGTAACACATGCATTCGAGAAATAGTGTATCTTGAAAATTTGCTAGAAAGGAACAACTGTATTAACATTTCTCATTTCAATGTTTTCTTGAATTTTCTATATAGCCATTAAGTTCTCTATTGTTATGATTGAACAAGTTATAAATTAATATTTAATTTCTTAAAATATTAAAGTAATTTTCAGTATATAGAATAAACAGTGATTTTTCCTTGATTTGTCCCTAATAAGTTCTCAATTACTCTGAAATGTGTAGTGAGCACATTTCAACTGTTTCATTTCCATACATATTCATAGTAAACACATTGCTTAAAAACATAAATGAGATCACTCTTAAATGTAAAGTACTGTAATTTGATTGAATAAGTCAGAGAAATCTTTACAAGCCAGAAAATTTAAGTCTACCTATTCTTTCTCACAACTGCATAATTTAGACCTGCCATAAGATATTGAATATTTATGATGAAGGATATTTTAAATATTCAATTTTTTTCCTGCTTCATACAATGTGCGATTTTATACATATTTTTATAAGGATATTTCTTAAGAAAATACTCCCAACGAAGTGGGATTTCTGGCATCTAATGATATACAAATAACCCGTATCAATCTTTTAGTAGTTTACACTTCAGCTATCAGAGATGCGTGTCCATTCCCTGACATTATCACACACATTAGATATTAGTATTACCATTTTCAAGTCTTTGAAATCTGATGGGTGAGAAATGATATAAGGAACCTTTTCAAAAAAGTGTGCATCAAGGGAACCAGTCCTTAAAGGCTGAAGTAGCAAGAGGAGGGAGCAGTTACATGAATCTGGAGAAAATAGCTATAACTATAAAGTAAAAACTTAGATTTCTTTTCCTCTAATATAAGCATTTATGCTGTACATTTCTCTCTATGTACTGATTTGGCTATATTCTACAAATTTGATATTTCAAAAATTGTTTTCATTCAGGAGGAGGAGAGAGATTTTTCTCTGGCAGTGCTGGGTGGGTCCTGAGCTGGCAGTGTTTCCATTTCCACCTACTGTTCTTCTCAGAGCAGCATGGAGGCGTGTGACTTGTCTCTGATGAGCTGGGCTGACTGTGTTTCCTGTACAAATGTTTGAACACAGATGAAATAGTAAAGCAGATCCCTAACCTTGTGAGCCCTTGTCAATAGTACAGACCTAAGAACAGTTCTCTGTGAGTCTAAATGACAGAAAGAATGGACCGATCCCTGAGCTTGCTCCTCCTTTGGTCAAAACTAGGCCGAGAGTTAAAGGTATCCAGAAATGGGCAAGAGAGAAAAAACCCCGGGACATTTCTCCTTAGAGAAGAGAGGACGCTTGGGAGTAGTACTGATATGATTTTCTGGCAGTTTCTGTGGAGACTGAAAAAATACATTTTAAAGTAATATTCCAAGAATAATTAGCCACTAACCAGTCCCTTTCCCTTTCTGAACAAGGGTGAGCAGTCACAAGAGGGGAAGCAGAGCTCTGATGCTTTGAATGTCCAAGAGGGAGACAGCTTGGTTCTCAACTGCAGTTACAAGGGGAGCGCTATTTACAGCCTTCTGTGGGTTAGGCAGGACCCCGGGAAAGGACTCACATCTCTGTTGTCAATTCAGTCAAATCAGAGAGAACAAACAAGTGGATGAACAAAGACTCGATGTATAAGTCGTCAAGACGTAGAACTTTATACATTGCAACTTCTCAGCCTGGTGACACAACAGGCACCTGTCACCAACACTCAAACTCCAGTGACATGTTTTAGGCTGGGGCTCCAACCACAGGTTCTGCGTTGAAGCTGAGGAACCTTTCTCCATTAAGGGGTTTTCGAAATCGACCCTCTCTCCAGGTAGAAGCAATTAAATATGAAACAACTGATAAAATGACCTGAAGTTAAATTGTGCATTCTCTGATCTTTAGATTTTTATCAATTTCAGTTTATATAATAGCTTTCTTAAGATTAATTCACATGTCAAGCAATTCATTCTTTTAAAGTGAGCAATTAAGTGGCATTTAGTAAATTCACAATTTTGTGTAACCATCAACTCTATCTAGTTTCAGTGCCTTGCCGTCACCGCAAAAGAAAATCGCATGCCCATTAAACAGTTACTCACCGTTCCCCCCTCCCCCAAACCCTGGTGACCACTCACCTGCTTTCCGCACTGTGGATTTCCCTATTCTGTACATTTCATATAAATGGAATCATATGTAGCCTTTTGTGTATGGCTTCTTTCACTTAGCATAATGTTTCGGAGATCCATCCAACTCAGCACCTACTGAATAAAGACAAATATTCACCCCCAACCAATCACGTAGGATGCCCTACTTCTAGTTAGCCTGCTCACATTTTCCCATTTTTTGTTTGCTAGATGTTTGTCAGTTTTACTGATCTTTTTGAAGAACCATACTCTTTATGATTTTAATTCTTTTACATTAAATTTGCTGAGATTTATTTTATGGCCGACAATATGGTCTTACTTGGTATATGTTCCACGGACATTTAACAAGAATGCATATTCCGCTATTGTTGGGTACAGCTGGCTACAGTTGATGGCGTCGTTGAGTTCTATATCCTTGCTGATTTCCTGGCCAGTTGATCTACCAGTGGTAGAGAGAAGGGTATTGAAATCTCTAACTGTAATTTGTCTACTTCTCCTTATAGTTCTATCAGCTTTTATTCCATTGATTTTTCAGCTCTGTTGGTTGGTGCATACACATTTAGGATCTTCTTGGTAATTTTTCCTTTTTATATGTTTCCTTTTTGTCTCTGGTAATTTTCTTTGTTCATAAATCTACTTTATCTGATATTAATATAGCCATTACTACCTTCCTCTGATTGTTTTCATGATATATCTTCTTCCATATATTTACTTTCAACATGCCTATATTATATTTGAAATGACTTTCTTGTAGACAGCTATAGTTGTGTCATATGTTTTAATCAACTTTTTGTTTTAACTATCTTTTCATCAGTGTATGCAGACCAATTTCTGTGCATGTAAATCACCTGCATTTAATGTCATTTAATCTCCAATTTTATTCATTTATCTATCTAGAGTTTATGATATTTTGGAATTTGTTTTATAAAATTTGTGATTTGTTGTGATTTTATTTCTCATTCTAAAAATCATTTTGTGCTCAACTTTTTATCCATAATTTTGTGTTCCTTTGGTAAAAAACATTTTATAAGTTTCAAGGTCCACAAACATAAATCCTCCTCTGTACATAATCATAATGCTTTGAAATTCAACCATACAAAGGTGGTGAAGTTACACAAAAATTGTGAACATCTCCTTAGTCTCTGTTTGGCTCCTGGAGAGCATTGTTGCCTATATTGGAAATGGTTATTCTGTGTAAGATCAGTATAAGCTCATAAAAACCTTCTTTCCTGCAGTTTAAACAAGTGTTCTGACAGCATTTTTAACACAATGACACGTGAAGAGTCTCAGGCACCAGAGGCAAACAGTTTTGTCAAGAGAGCAACTTTTCCTTTATAGTCCGTACAGTGTTTTTAAGAAGAAGAAATCTAAAATCTTTTCATTCCTCCTAAACCTCAGAGCAATCTGGATTCAAGCTCTCAGTGATGAGACTTTTATTTGCTTGTGGGGAATCTTCTAGAAAGGAGCTCGCTGCTTCTTTGCTTCCTGACCATGGCACTGGTGTTCACCTTGATCTGTGGGGTGATCCTGTTCCTGAGTGAGTGCCATTCCATTTACTCCCTTGTTCACAAATGGAACATTGTTCTGGTTGGCTCTGTAGAGAGACTTTTGTTTCAGTAGGGTTCACTGACTCAGCCCTGATGCTGCAGGACGAACCAGAGGCTCGACAGGGACCCAGCCTGACGGCCGCATCACCATCTCTGAAAGAGACCACCTGGAGATGTAACTACTTGTCTTCTGTTCCTCTGTCTCTCTTCTGGTACGTGCAATACCCCAACCAAGGACCCCAGCTTCTCCTGAAGTACATGTCTGGGAACAGCCTTGTTTCAGGCATCAAACGTTTTGAGGCCAAATTGAAGAGGAATGAAATCTCCTTCCACTTGAAGAAAAATCCTCAGCCCATTGGAGAGACTCACCCAGTACTTCTGTGCCCTGAGTGACACTGGTGGGACTGCAGGGGGAGCTGCACAAAAACCTCCTGAGACTTTGTAGCTTAAAAGACTGGGTTTCAGCCTAAGTTATTTTCTGGAAATTGGCATGTTCTGTGAAGTCAAACAGTAAAGAGAACATAGAATCCTGGGAAGCATTTAGTTCCTAGGAACATCTTAAATTTATTTTCTTTCCTCTCCTTTTTTTTTTCTTTCTTTCCATTTTGCAAAGGAAAGACTGTATTCTGAAATGCAGCACTTGTATCCTCTGAGTCAGGGTTCTACAGGGAATGAAGCTACAGGACTTTCAACAAGCTGGAGGAAGTTACTTGCTCCCAGATCATTAGTGGTAGGCTAAGATGGCTTGAGTTGGTGTAAGGCAAATCAGAGAATTAATTTCTAGAATTAATCTCATCATTCAAGCCATCAGAAAACCCAGGCGAATTGCTTATTATTCTAAACAGCATTATCTCCAGGTATTTTAATGGTATCCTGAGAGGCTTCTTTCTTCAAAGGACTTCAGCTCTTTGACTAAAATATTTGAGATTGGGTGGACTTAATTAAAGTTGGCCTATAAGGATGTGTACAGGTGACCTTTCCAAAGACCATATAGTATGAAGGAAAAAAGACCTTTTTTATCCAGTCCCCAGGCATTCTAAATTAAACACCATGTCATGCCAAAGAGCCATATGGATTCTTGGGGGTGCTGATTCCATGAGTGACCCACCCTGTCTTTATCAGACCCACACAAGTCACCTCTCTCCTCCTTTTTCTCCCTTCTAATTCAATTTCTCTAGTACCCATTGAGTGACCAATAATAATTAGTGATTCCTTAGTCATTTTTACTTATTTTTCTACATTTTTTCTCACAGTGCCATTAGTAAACATTTGCAATATTCTCGGACAGTTCATCTGACCTTCAGTGTCTGCAGAGAAAATACAGAGGTCTTCATTTTCCTTCCCTTTTACCTCTGATTCCATCTGTAGAGGATTATTATTATTTATAGAGTCTGACACAAGAACACAAACTAAACTGTTTTTCA